GAGAGGATAGGAAAGGAGGGAGGTGAGGAGAGGATAGGAAAGGAGGAGGTGAGGGAGAGAGGATAGGAAAGGAGGGAGGTGAGGGAGAGAGGATAGGAAAGGAGGGAGGTGAGGGAGAGAGGATAGGAAAGGAGGGAGGTGAGGGAGAAGGGACAGGAAATGAGAGAGATGAAGGAGAGGCGATAGGAAAGGAGGGAGTAGGGTGGTTGATGGGAATGGAGAAGTAGGTAAGAGCTGAAGGATTGGGGTAGGAACAGGAAAGGAGGAAATAGGGAGGAATAGAGATTGGATGGAAATACGAGTGGTGGGAGGAGCAAGGAGAGAGCGGAGGATGGAGTGGACGGAGTAGGGCAGAGAGTACGAGGATTGGAAGGAGTGGAAGAGGTGGTGCTTGGGGATGCGGGATAGGAGTGAAAAGAGCAGGGATAGATACAGGAGTGGAGGGAATGAGATAATGGGTAGAGAAGTGATGGGAATGTGAGTGAAAATGGAAGTGGAGGGAGTGGAAGGGTAACGATGAGAACGAGACACGAAAGAATGAGGATAGGGAATAGGTAAAGGGAATATGGGGTGGAAAATGAAGGGAGATTAAATGCAAGCTCGGAGGCATTTCTAGGGAAAGAGGGAGAGAGGGAAGGAGTGGGAGGGGAGAGGGAGAAATAAGGAGAGTGAGAGAGAAAAAGAGAGGAAATGAGAGAAGAGGAAGGAATGAAGTAAAGGAAAGAAAATGAAGGAAGAAAAGAAAAGAAGAGGAGGGAAGTAACGAAACGAAAGAAGAGGAAAGGAGGGAAGAGAAGGAGACTGAGGGAGATAACGGGAAGAGAAGGAAAGTGAGGAAGAGAGGGGAGAGGGAGAGAGAGGAAAAGGGGAAAGGAAAGGAAAAAGAGGTAGGGAGATGTCGTTCCTTTTTATGTGAAGGCCAGGAGGAATTTTATTTTGATGGTAATTGGTGTTTTAAGAAGAAACCTTTGAGGCTCTGTCGTAAGATTGGGCTAAAGGGAAGGGCGGGCTTATGGGTCGCGAGAGAGGCGTTTTTTCTCCTATGATTTGTTTTGGAATAAAGAAAGGGGACGTGTTTCGATATTTTTTCTTTTCTCTTTTCCTTTTTCTTTTTCTTGAATACCTAATCCGCTGACTATCATCTTTCGTTAATGAGATACGAATGTCCTTGGAGTTATCTACCGACTTTCTGGCTCCGTGCCAGGTGGCTTCGCCGCCGAAACTACCAGTGCCACTTTTTTCATGTGTCTACATTTTTGTATGTCTATCCGTCTCTCTCTCTCTCTTGCTCTCTCTCTCTCTCTCTCTCTCTCTCTCTCTCTCTCTCTCTCTCTCTCTCTACTCTCTCTCTCTCTCTCTCTCTCTCTCTCTCTCTCTCTCTTTCTCTCTCTCTCTCTCTCTCTCTCTCTCTCTCTCTCGTCTCTCTTCTCTCTCTCTCTCTCTCTCTCTCTCTCTCTCTCTCTCTTCTCTCTCTCTCTCTCTCTCTCTCTCTCTCTCTCTCTCTCTCTCTCTCTCTCTCTCTCTTCCCCCGTCCCTCGTAGCCCATTTCCCGCAGTCTTTCCCTCTCCTCGTCTCCTCTCTCCTTCACAAAGCTAAAACGTACCATGTTTTGGTTAACCATCTGTCCATCGCCATCACCATCCGTCTCCTCCAGCGCCCACTGCCTTTCATCTTTAGGTCCACCTGCCATGCTCAAGCTGTTGCCAGAAATATTCTCCCGGTTCCAGAATTACCAACATTTTCAACATTTCCAATACCGTCTGCACTCAAGCGATTACAAACACCTGATCGCCATCTGTCACGAAGAACCATCTGGCGATTAGTATAAGTGATATCAAATCCATCTGTTCACTGTTACGTGGTGACCAGCTGTCGTTCGGTATTTTCCCCACAAAACAGCCAGTTATTTACCACCTGCATATAAGGGGGCCATTACGTGCAGGTGGTACTAACGTGTGACAGTTACAAGTTGTTACCATCGTTTTCAGAGGAATTTCTATTCGAATCTACAGACCGAAAGGATGAAAAGAAAACAGACATATGAGGGGACTAATGCTAACTCGATACAACCTTCCGCGAAATTGCGTCGTCGTTCTCCTTCCTGTCTCTTTGTATCTACCTATATACCCGTTTGTTTGTTTGTCTGTCTATCTATCTGTCTATCTATATGTCAGTCTGTCAATGTATCTGTGAATCTCTATCTGTCTATCTGTAAATTTATCTCTCTCTCTCTCTCTCTCTCTCTCTCTCTCTCTCTCTCTCTCTCTCTCTCTCTCTCTCTCTCTCTCTCTCTCTCTCTCTCTCTCTCTCTCTCTCTCTTCCCCTCACTTTCCTTTTTCCCTTTTCTCCTCTTTCGCGCCCACGTTCTCATTTTTTCCGCGGATTATATAATAAAAAAAAGTCTTTTAAACTCTTCGCCAACTAAATCAAAAGTTTTAAGTCTTTCGAACACCGTAATAAGACACATAAGAATAGGAGGATTGACGAATGATGGAGTTGGTAACAGTGACGTTCAGGCGATGGTTCGACGTAGCCAAAAAAAAAAAAAAAAAAAAGACTTCTCTGACCGTAAACTTTGACTGTCTTATCGACTTAAACTTTTCTTACTGATGATGGGGAACAGACTGTGAACGTGTGTAGGTGTGGTTGTGTGTGTACGTACTCGTGTGCGTGTGTTTGTATATGCGTGATTGTATGTGTGTGCACGTTTGAGTGTGAGTGTTTGTAGTTCCCTACTTACCCAATTATCTACTACCTTTAAAAAATGAAATAAAACGCTCAAATAAAAAAGTAAAAAAAAAAAAAAAATGGACGTGAGAAAGAAGTTAACCTGCGTCAAAAAGTAATCAGTTAATGCCTGTAAAAAAAAAATATAAAAAAAAAGTAATGGTTGGAAGCAGGCGCTCCAGACAGATTCGTCCCTCCCTTGTAACTCAAAAACTTTCCCCACCGCGGGCCGAGGGGGGACTGATTCGTATGGCGTAGCGACAAATGGTCCATATTTGCATAGTCAGACGGCTCGTAAAACTCAACCCAATTTTTATTAAAAAAAAAAAAGTCTTCGTCGTCATGGACTTGGAGAAAAAAATGTCTCTTACCTGATTTTAAATTTGATGTCTTATACATACATACATAAATGTATGTATATATGCATATATAATATTATATATATATATATATATATATATATATATATATATATATATATATATATATATATATATATTATAATATTATATATATATATATATATATATATATATATATATATATATATATATATATATATATATATATGTATGTATGTATGTATATAATATATATATAGATAGATATATATATAGACATATATATATATATATATATATATATATATATATATATATATATATATATATATATATATTATATATGTGTGTGTGTGTGTGTGTGTGTGTGTGTGTGTGTGTGTGTGTGTGTGTGTGTGTGTGTGTGTGTGTGTGTGTGTGTTGTGTGTGTGTGTGTGTGTGTGATAGAGATAGATAGAGAGAGGAGAGAGAGAGAGAGAGAGAGAGAGAGAGACTGTAGATTGATACACTGATAAATATTATACAGTTATGCACTTTGCCTCATGTGATGGTTGGAAAATGCACTCATCATATATAAATACAAACGCGACCACTTAAGTTCACGTCCATCAGCCATTAAACTTAACAGGAAAAAAGTCTCATGGGTTGTGAACAAACAATGAACACCCGAACACAAGCGCAAAGCAGTGTAAACAAACAAATAAACAAAAAGAAAAAAAAAGGTCGCAACAAATTAATATAAAAGGCATTCAGCGAGATAGCAAGACCACAGGGAGACACAAAGAAAGAAAAAAGAAACAAATAAATCAATAAAGAGATCAACAGAAGTGAAGAAAGAAACAGAGAAGAACAGCAACAAAAGTTCATGGAATCGCGGGCTTGATAAGGGAATTTATAGAGACCATTTCGCGCCACCATCGCCCTGGCGGCTCCTCGTGTAACTAGTAATTCTGTCAAAGCGTGATTTAACAGGCTGTCGAACTTTTGGCATAAATTTGAGACCCCCTCCCCTTCTCTCCCTTCTCCCCTCTCCCCCTCCTCCCCTCCCCTCTCCCAGCCCCAACCCACCGACCCAGTTCTCCTCCCTCAAACCCCCACCCACTCACCCGATCCCCCTCCTTCAAGTCCCCTCGCATGCCCCCCCCCCCCCCCCAAACCTCCGCCCCTTCTCGAGGCCGACTTTCTCGACGTGTTCACGGGTGGAAAGTCGGAATTTCTGGAGTTTTTTGAGACGAGAGAGAGACAGACAGAGAGACAGACAGACAGACAGACAGACAGACAGACAGACAGGACAGACAGGACAGTAGGCAAACAGACATACAGAAACGGGTAGGCATGGTTGTGAAAGAGAAGATGAAGAGAGAGAGAGAGAAGGATGGAGGAGTCAAAAAAATAATAGATAAGAGAGAGGGAGGGATAACGGCAGTAATGAACAAAAGGAAAACGAAGAGAGATTACACGTATGAATAAATTTATTCTTACATGTTGCTGTGCCAAGCTGAAATTTAGACATAATTCAACATTTAACTCCAAGGGAACTGGATCTCCGATTTCGCATCTCCGATTCATTTTCACCTCATTTTCTCAAAATAAAAAATATATATATCGCGAATGTGGTTTAAAAGAAATAAAATTCCTTCCGCGATGTTGCACCTCAAGAAGGCCTAGACATCCAGCCTGCCAATAGACTGAAGTGGAGACGCAGACACTTGAAGATGACATCTCCTGCAAGAAAGAGCACGGTTGTTGACACTGGCTTCACGTCTATAAACATCCCCGGCCGCCCACACCCTCCGGACGCCCGTTCCACGTCTCTGGCACGCCCGTTGCACGTCTCTGGCACGCCCGTTGCTCGTCTCTGGCACGCCCGCTGCACACCGCCTACCCACTTTCATTTCGTTCCTTGAGCCCGGAAGTCATATATTTATCCTCATGTGGCTTGACTACCTAGTACCGCCCGCCGAAGGAGAGTGCCACTTTTACAGGCTCTCTGGCACGGGGCGAACGCGTAAAAACTTGTCAGCATAGCGAGGGAGTGCCACGCTTTATTCATAGTTTCACGGCGGAGAATGGCACTGTTCACGCGTAGCGGCTCGGCGTCCGGAGGCAAAGTGTCGGCCGGAATTGATGGCTGAACGGCTCCGAAGCCCGGGAGTGAGTTAGTATGTAAAATACGCTTGTTTGGGAATGGGCGGGCTTCAATCTGGCGCCCCTGGAATCTGGGCGGATCTCTCCATCGCCTTCTTTGACTCTCGCTCTGCTTCGCACTCCTCTTCCGGATTCGCTCTCGATGCGTCGGTCTGTCGTCTCCTCTCTTTCACTTTCTCTCTTCAGGTCCACCTTTCTCTATCTCTATCTGTCTGTCTTTGCCATTCCCACCACCTTCACTCCTCTCTCTCTCTCTCTCTCTCTCTCTCTCTCTCTCTCTCTCTCTCTCTCTCTCTCTCTCTCTCTCTCTCTCTCTCTCTCTCTCTCTCTCTCTCTCTCTCTCTCTCTCTCTCTCTCTCTCTCTCTCTCTCTCTCTCTCTCTCTCTCTCTCTCTCTCTCTCTCTCTCTCTCTCTCTCTCTCTCTCTCTCTCTCTCTCTCTCTCTCTCTCTCTCTCTCTCTCTCTGCATAGAAACCCCATTTATCCTACTTATTATTCCATATGCATACTTATCCAAATTTCCTTTTATCCATCCTTCGTGTCCCTTTGTTCCTCCGCGTTCCTCTGTTCCTCCACAATCGCCACCTGCTCTATTTCTCAGCGTTCTACCGGAAGTTGAAAGGATTAAATATTGATGACTTCTAACTTACTGTACCCTCGCTCGCAAACCTCTTCCGAAATGTCAGCTGATCGCGTGAGTGTTATATACGACACAAGTCCAAACATTCTCGTGATTTTAACACCCTAAGAAAAGATACGTTCAGAGAAATAAGGAAAGGAAGGAAAAGTGAAATTTATCTTCTAGTCGTCAAGTTTAAAAACTGGGTCAGATTTCTAACGGGATTTTTTTAAAGGTGAATAACCGACCGTGCAAAAGAGTTGATGAAAAAGATAAATAAATAAATTCAAGCAAAGACATTTCCCTACCTCCAGACCCCTCTCCCCCCCCCCCCTTAAAAAAACGGGCGGGGGGGGGGGGTGATCCATCCCTTCACGAGACATTTTGGAAAACTGGTATAATCTATATGCTAATGCTGTGTTTGAAGCGACAAGCAATATGCCGACAGCCTCATAGGCCCTCCCCTCCCCCCTCCCCCCAATGCCCAACGCCAGTAGACCTGGATTCACTTGTCACCTTTAACAGGGTAGACAGATTTGATAATGGGTAGATTTCCGTCTATATACATAATCTCTAAGGGTGTAAGTTGAGTTGTAAGACGTAGGAAAATCGCCTTAAGAGGTTTCCAGTGCCAATGAAAAAGTATTACATTATTTTATCTTATCTACCCTTAAAAATATAGTGTTAAATAAGACGATCAAGTGCACTGTCTTTCAAATTTCATTTTATATTGTTGCATCCTGGTTGAATTAATCTGATGCTTGATAATCTTCATCTTGTTTATATCCCTAGTCAATAATTTTTTTTCTCTCTCTCTTTTTTACTTTTAGACTTTTAGACTTTTAAAATGATATAGTCTACGACCTTCAAACTTTGATTAAAGATTTCAAGACTTCGAGAAGAGGAAGAGTGACAGAAAAAAATATATGAGAAAAAAGATGAAAAACCAATCACGAATGACAGGAGAAAAGATTAAACAGGAAATTAATCAATGTAAAGAAGGAAAATAAGAAAGGACGCGTGTGTGTGTGTGCGTGCATGTGCGTGTGTGTGTATGTGTGTAGATAAATAGAACAGATAGTGTGTGTGTGTGTGTGTGTGTGTGTGCGTGTGTGTGTTGATAGATAAACAGAAAAGTGTGCGTGTGTGTATGATTACAGATAAAAACGAGAAATCAATAAAGACCTAAAAAAAGGCAAGCCACCCAGGGGAACAAGAAGACATGGCGATTCGATAGTCAAAACAGAGGGGAAATGGGCGTGGGATGATAATGACACGGAGAGCCAAACGCGACATGGAAACGAGGCGCGCGAAGCCGAGATGGTCGAAACCCCCATTCGACGCTGCTGTAAAAAGGGGCCTTAATAGCCGAACCCGATTCTTTTCATTATCAAGAAGTGTAACTGTCTGCCACAAACCGCGAGGACCCGATAACGCCATCCTCTGTTAGAGAGATGCTGTTATCAAACGCACCTGGATATTGAGAAAGAGACAGCACGAAGAAAGGAGATAAAGGAGGTAGAGCAGGGAATAGAGAGAGGATAAAAGGAAATGGAGGATAGGAGAGGGGGACTGAGAAAGAAACCTGTAAACCCGGGATGGAAAGACAGAAAAGGGATACTCAGCACAAAGGAGAGAGAGAGAGAGAGAGAGGAGAGAGAGAGAGAGAGAGAGAGAGAGAGAGAGAGAGAGAGAGAGAGAGAGAGAGAAGAGAGAGAGAGAGAGAGAAGAGAGAAGAGAGAGAGAGAGAGAGAGAGAGAGAGAGAAGAGAGAGAGAGAGAGAGAGAGAGAGAGAGAGAGAGAGAGAGAGAGAGAGAGAGATGGAAGGAGAGAAAGAGAGAGAGAGAGAGATGGAAGTAGAGAAAGAGAGAGAGAAGAGGAGAGAGACGGAGAAAGACGGAGAGAGGAAGAAAGGAAAGGATGAAGATTATGAATACACCAAGAGATAGCGTCGCAGGGGCGACCTCCACATACTTCCTTTTCATTTCCTCTGCCAACCTTTTTTCGTCAGATAAGGAAGTTGTGGTCAAATAGAATATGATGACCTTGCTTGTTCTTAGAGCTCTATCAGCAGTGTGTGTGTGCGGGAGGAGAGCAAAAGAGAAAGAGAGAAAGAGAGCGAGAGCTAGAGCGAGAGGGAGAGAGAGAAAGAGAGAAAGACAGACAAATAGACAGACAGACAGACAGATTGAAAGAGTGTGTGTGCATGTGTATGAATGTGTTGCGGCATTTTCGCGTCCCTATATATGTGTAAAATAAAAACATACTTTCTACATGAGAGTACAATGGACCTAGAGAACTATTCATATAAACTAACTGACTGATGACCCAAAGCCAAAAGAAGCAAACACATACATATATACCCTAGACTGTGACGCAACCATAATAAACTCTACAAAAGAAAAAATGATTACAATGAAAACTTAGAGAGGTTCACCGGCCATTATGCTGAACGTGATTGTGCAGTTGCAAAGCTTCGCCCGATCCAGTTTTATCCCGAGCTGTGGAGTACGCGGCGAGAACCGGAAATTAGTTTGGGTTGAAAATTCATGATGGGAAGTCGACCAAAAAAAGGCTGAAGAAATTTTGCAGTTGAGGTAATAAATGTGAAAATATTAAGATAGAAAGATAGATAAGTAGGTAGACATATAGATAGATAGATAGATAGATAGATAGACAGATAAATCAAAGAATAAAATAGGGTAAGTACTGTTAGAAAAGTGAACGGGAAGAAAACAGGTGATAATAAAACTTAGAAGGAAGACATCTTGAAAAGTATATATATATATATAACTGAAAATGAACAATCAAAATTAGTCAAATAAATGAATAAATGAATGAACAAAAGTAATTACAAAATACCTCAGAAATGGGAAATACAATATAATGAAAAGAGGCGAAAAGAATCCTTAGAGTTTCTCTCAAGAATCCCTTATCCGCCAAAAACTTTAACGCGGAGTCAGCTGATCCTTACAAGGCGCAGGAACTAGCGCTGGCGACGATAGAAGCCAATAAACCGAAACCAAATAAAAATATGAAAATAAAAATGTTTTCTTGTACTCGAGTTTTGAGTGAAAGTAAAGTAACTGTTATAAAAGAAAGAAAAAAATATATTAATTTTAATGTGCACTTGTTTTCAGAGTAACAGGATAAGGAAGTCTGTCATGTTAGTACTTTTTTTTTTTTTTTTTTTTTTTTTTTTTTTTTTTTTTTTTTTTTTGGCATGTGTGGTTATATATACATATAGAAATCAAAGCTCAATGAAGAGATCAAATGTATTCAAGGATTAAGGTTTTACACACTCACACACACACATTTATATAATTAAACCCCTTTCGGTTTGCCTTTATTTCCATATTTAATTCTAATAAGGCATTCAAAAAATATAGGTATCCTTATTTACCGTTAGACCCAAAAATCAAATTGACTTTTTCCCTAGAATAATCGGACGGATATTTATGTAATGGCACACTTCGTTATCATAAATAAAATCGTGTTTTTTTCTTTTATTTTTGGTAATTAGCAACAAGTAATTATACGATGATTATTTATCTAGCTATATCAGGCAACTCGCAGTGCACCCTCATTGGCTAAACGCGATGACGTAATTTAGCTCCGCCCCAATTTCACTCCTTTTACCATGAGCGACAAAGTATGTTTTCTCAGTATATTATCATATATTATTCAGGTATGAAATAAAAATATGACAAACAAAGACAAAAAAAAAATATTGATAAATGAAGAAATTCGGTACATTTTTGCAATGATGATGATAAAGGAAGGCTTAGCTTGGCAGATGCAAATTAGAATTTTCCTCAAGACAGTTACCCATCTTTTAAATACGTTCATTTTTCTTTATCATTATCAATAACATTTTATTTTTTCATCATTGTTATTGCAATTATATATGTTATTTTCAGAAGCAACATATTTGAATGACTTCATTTCTTCGTTTTCTCTGCGCAAAAAGGAAAACTTGAGCTCTTTCAGCGGAAACTTTTAAAAAAAGTTAATGGACTAATTATTTTCCTCAAACTGCTTTGTTTAACATAACATCAATAAAGAGTTAGAAAACTTCAGAATTTTAATAACTTTAACGAATAATTGATCTCGAGAAGTGGATCTTCATAAAACAACTTTGTTATTAGTTTAGTTTATGAAAATATTAATTCAAGAAGGGATGCAAATTTATCATCAAGTAGTGTGCATACTCAATAGTGCAGGAATAGAGACACACACACA